TGGGCCTGCGCGCGTCGGTTTGGTTGCTAAGTGGTCGCCGTCGCTGGGGGTCCTGCAACGTGTTGTTCTTCGCGCCCGAAAGTGAAAGGATTGTTGAGCGTCCTGCTTGCTACGGCGAGGCGGCGACGGCCCGTCGCCGCCTCGCCGCCGCCCGTCGTCTGGGTTTGCGCGTCGGTCTGGCGGCTGCGTGGTCGCCGTCGCCGCCTCGTCGCCGCCCGTCGTCTGGGCCTGTGGTCCCCATCGCCGCCCCGTCGCCGCCTCGTCGCCACCCGTCGTCTGGGCCTGCGCGTCGGGTCTGCCGCCTTGCGGTCGCCGTCGCCGCCCCGTCGCCGCCTCGTCGCCATCAATAGAGTTCAACGCAATCGATTGCAATCCAATCGATTGCAACGCAATCGATTTCACAACATGGACGAGTGCACCACAGACGTACACCTCATAGAGTGCACAACCTAGTTCGCACTACGCAGCTTAAACCACGTAGCTCACACCAAATACCTTGCACACTGCATATTTTGTATCACACAGGTTGCGCCACATAGCTCACACCAAAGATTTTGCTTAACATAGACATGCATGTACTGCAACACACAACTTGCACCACACAGCGTGAACCACATATACACATATAGTTTACCATTTACTGTGTATTACGTAGCTTACACCACGTAGCTCACACCACATGGGTTCTCTGTTCTAAAAGAGTATGAGAATCTACCTCCCCCCCAGGGACTCAACTGTTCATTGCAAACAACAACAACAAAAAAGCACTGGGCGCGCACACCCGTTCACCGAAATCATCATTTGCCAAGAACATTTTGCAAAAATTGGGCGACGTGCACACGCGCGCGTCGTCGCGCGCTCATGCCGAAATCATTCAAAAGCCTTCCGTTTCGAAAGGATGTCAAAATCGAGCGTCCCGTCAGCAGGAAATTCAAACAAAAAACAAAACACAAAAACAAGAAACATGCGGTCGCGCCCTTGCGGTATATCAAAAACATGGTTTGCTCAACAGTTTCACGAACATCTACCCAACGTGCCGTTCGCCCGAGCATGTCGACATTGTTCGAACGCTTTTGCCCGCGCCTTGCCGCAATACTAGTCCGAGAAAAAAGCAAAAAAACAACGAGATGAAGTGCACACGCGTGCGTCGTCGCGCGCGCATGCCGAATTCATTGAAAAACCGTTGGTGTCGCAAGGAGTTCAAAATCGAGTGTTTCGAAAACCTACAAAAACCACATGGTGGTGCAAAACCTCGTTGCCAAGGAAGGTATACGCTCGCGTTGTTGCGAATTCTTATGAAAACCATCGGTAATTCAACACTTTCATCACATTCAACCTAACTGGCCTCTCCGCGGCGCATGTCGGAATCATTCGAACGCCTTTGCGCGCGTGCTGGGGGGGGACGCTATCCCTGCCAAATAGTTTCATGTGGCGCGCTCGTCGGCCGCGCGCACGCCGAGCTCCTTTCAAAACCTTTCATCACCGACGCGAGGACACCGTCATCGTCATCGGCGTGATCAGCATCGGCGCCGTCATTGGCCTTGCCGTCGTCATCGTCATCGTCGCCACCATAATCGCTACTAGCATCATGGTGTCTACCGTTGTCGACGTCGCCATGATACCGCGCCCGCCCAAGCCACCGACTCGCACTGAAGTGCCCGCTGGGGAGTGCAGAGCGGTCAGCCCCACCGCGGCCGCGCTAGCTGTCCGTTTTGCGCGCGAGAATGCGCGGGCTAGCGCGGCCGCAGAGACGCACCAGCCAACACGAAGAAATCATCGCGATCGCCGCCGCATGGCTTTTGCAATTGAAGTTTTGTGGGTGGGTGGGTGGGGTGGCTGCGCGAGCAGTGGGGTTGACAACTCCCAGTTCTTCGGAACAAATTGCAACACATAGCCTCCACCACATGGATTGCACCACACTGCTTGCACCACGCAGATTGTTCACTACAGATTGCTCCACACATATTGTACCACATCGCTTGCACTAAATATGTTAGTTAATTGCACATAATGGATGAGTACCTCAGCTCCTACCACAGGGGTTGCAACACATAGCTTACACCGCGCAGCTCACTCCACACGGATTGCACAACATAGCTTAGACCACATATAGTCCTTTTCTACGAAGGAATCCGGATCGACCCCCACCCCCGTGTTAGCAGGTCGTTGTTTCGCATTGTTGTTTTCGCATCTGTTTCTGCACATTCGCATGTCCGAAGTATGAGTTCATATCATCCCAGGCAGTCCGGTTGACGACCCCCCCCCCTCTTTCTTCCCCCTCAAATAACACTCGGCGCGCACATTCGTTTTTCAAACATTCGCCTTGGCTGCATCCCTTGCAACGAACGGGACGAAGTGCACACGCGCGCATCGTCGCGAGCGCATGCCGAAATCATTCAAAAACCTGAGGGCGCGCAGGGATTTCAAAATCGAGTGCCCCGAACATCGAAACACCACGTCGTTTCGCGGCATGGGTCTTCAAAGACGTGTGCGCGTTTTTTTCCGAACTCGTAAGAGAACCATCGTTTTATCAGAATTGTCCTCCAATACAACCAAGCGGATCCCCCGCGCGCACACATCGGAATCCTTCGGACGCCTTTGCGCGCCTGCTGGGGGGGGGGGCACGATCCCTGTCAGGTACCACCGTGCGGGCCACTCGCGCGTGTCGGCCGCGCGCAGGTCGAGATCCTTATGGAACCTTCATCATCGACGCGAGATCCTCGTCACCAGCATCGCTACTAGCATCATTGTGTTTGCCACTGTCGGCGTCGCCATGCTACCGCGCCCGCCCGAATCACCTGCTCGCATCGATGTGCCCACGCGTCCGCGCGGCCTGCGAGACGTGCTGAGCAGTCCCCAGCGGTCAACGCCACCGCGGCCGCGTCCGTCGCACCAGACTAGCTGGCCGCTCTGCGCGCGAGCCTGCGCGCTTGCGCGGCCGCAGCGGTGCGCCAGCCAGCGCCAAGCATAATCGCCCCGCACGGGTTTTGCAAGCCAAGTTGCGGGTGAGTGGGTGGGATGGTTGCACGAGCAGTGGGTCGACAACCCGTTGCGAACATTGACTGCTTCGCATAGGTTGCACCACATAGCGTACACCACATAGTCAGCAACACATGTGTTGCATTGCGTTGCTTGCACCGCATAGCGTACACCACATAGGTGGGTACGTTAGCTCCTTCCACCTAGATTGCACCACATAGCTTGCATCACGCAGATCACACCGAGCAGTCTTGCACCACATGTATTGCACCACCGAACCCACACATCATAGTTTGCACCACGACAAGTGCAAGCAAACCACTCTTTGGGGCCGGTGGTGGCCAACGTACTGTTGTGCATTGCTAGTGTATTGCGATTCGTTTGGATTGCCTTGTCTTGCAGTGGTTGAGTTGCGATGCATCGCATGGCAGGCTGTTGCGTTGCATCGCGTTGTGTCGTATTATTGCGCATTGGTTCGCATGCCGGTGCATCGCATTGCATTGCATTGAGTTACATCGAAGTGTTGGTTGTTGAATAGTATTGCATTGCATTGTATCGCATTGCTCAGTCATTGGTTTGCATTGCGGTGCATTGAGTTGCAGTGTTCATCAAGTGCTGAGGCATTGCGTTGCATTGGATTGCTTTACGGTGCGGTGCGGTGATTTGCGCTGCGTTGTATCGTTTTGCAGCGCGTCGCAATCGCTGTGCCGTTCATCGCATTGCGTTGCATTGCAATGCCTTGAAATGCCTTGCGTTGCCTGGCATTTCTGTGAATTGCCTTGCATTGCGTTATATCGCATTGTCTTGCTTTGCGTTGCGTTATGTTGCAGCGCATTGTCTTGCTGTGTCGTGCCTTGCGTTCTATTGCATTGTGTTGTGTTGCATTGCGTTGCATGCGCTCCCTTGAGCTGCATCGCATTGCGTTGCTTTGCATTGCTGCGCATTGCGTTGCATTGCGTTGCAGTGTTTTGCCTTGTTTTGCATCGCATTGCGTTGTTGTCTGTTGCGATGTGGTGCGTTGCATTGTGTTGCATTGCGGTGCCGTGCGTTGCCTTGCGTTTCCTCGCATTGCGCTGTTTTGCATTGAGTTGCATTGCGTTGTATTGTTTTGGATTGGATTACATTGCGTTGCAGTGCTGTGCGTTGCGCTACATGTCAGCGCATTGGTTTGCATTGTGTTGCATTGCTTTGCGCCACGCGGATTGCACCATATGGGTTGTACCATTTAGGTTGCGCCGTATGGAATGCACCACCTAGAGTGCACCGCATAGTTCGCAAGAAATCACGGTGTGGTGCCCACGCTGGCGAACATTGAAAAGCACACTAAACAGTTCTTCAAGACGTAACATCAAGACAAACATTTTGAAACAGCCAAACATTGGCTATGTTCTCAACCATGCCATGGGGTCCCAATCATACGGTCCACCCATAAGGGTCCAACTATGCATATATCGCGGCCCTCAGATTGCACCCCATATATGTGACGCCATATTCTGCGCCCACTAGACTTCACCCCATAAGATGCAACCCAGATGATGCACTCGATGGCTTGCATTCAATATACTGCGCGCCACTGATTGCGCACCACATTTTGCAAATCATGGGTTGCACCCCAAGGCGGTGCACCCCATATATTGAACCACATGATATCAGTGAGTTGCAGCCCATAGGTTGCACCAGATAAGTTGCACCCTAGACGTTGCACCCCGTACGTTGCACCCCTTACGTCATTCTCCACGAATTGGGCACTATATGAGGTGCACCCCGTAGGCAGAACCCTACCACATGCATGATCACAAAAATGTGTACAACAAGTTGTGTGTGATCTATGTGTTTCAAAGCACATGCACATATTCGAAGATGGCCCATTGTTTCTTCTTGCGTCGTTCGACGCGTGATTCCTTCTGTGGGCGCCATATCCGTTCATAAACGTTGCCCCGCCATCTCGACGTGCGTGCGACGCCGTTGCGAGGGGGACAGCTCGGAGCTAAGAGTGTAAGCGGAGAGAACGGAGCACTGAGGATATGCGCTTCAACGAGCACGCCCTCTTCGTGTTCTTGGGTGTTGCCCACTGCTGGGGCATGCACTCCCTAGGTGGCCAGGGAGGGGCGACCGGGCGAGCACGATGGCATTTGCTACCAGCATGATTTGTGTTGTTCATCTTGTGGTTCGCTCGATGGCCCCCTTCCTCTCCTCCTCTAGGCCCTCTACTTCCCTTGACCCTCTGCTCCTCTCGAGAGGGCTGGCTTCTTCTGGCCGCGCAAGGACCTCGCCGGCGGGTGCACCTGCGGCAGCAGGGTGGCCGGCCGAGCGAGCGTTCGGAGTCGAGCGGCTGCGAGAGCGACCGGGCACCTGAGCACGCGGTGGGCGTGCGGAAGCAGTCTTCTCGAGGCGTACTCCAGATTTCGTAATAAAGGGAGGGGGGTCTCATTTCGGGGGGGGTCTCTTCCAGGCTATCTTGGAGGGCCTGGGGGGTCTGGGGACGATGTTTTGGAGGGTTCTCCCACGGGGGAGGTCTGAAATGGCTTGTCTTGGAGGGTCCAGACCCCCTCCCTTTTATTACGAAATCTGGAGTACCTCCGCTCTCGCGCCTGGCCGTCAGGGCCCGCGACTCCGCGTCCGGTCCGTCGGATCATGTTTTGACATCAGGCTTGGAGAGCGAAGGATGACATAAACAAATGTCAGGAGTCCTCCTCCTCCTCCTCCTCCTCCTCCTCCTCCTCCTCCTCCGGGCACCGAGGTTCCCATCCGCCCTGCGCTGGCGCGGGAGCGCCACTGCAGAGCGTCTCCGGGAAGGCCACGTCCGGGAGGATGTTCACAGCGCTCGGATCGTGAAGCGCTTTGGGGTTCAGGGGGGATCTTGAGGTGGGCCCCGCCTGGACTCTCGGCATTGGAGAGAGCATTCTCCCTGACTGGCACTGCCTTTTACGGCGCGACAGACCGCACTCGATCTCCCGCGTCTTGGTGCTCGGGGCGCGCCGCCGCACTGCGGCAGGCGGACGGCGGCGCGGGGATGCCACGTCACGTCTTGCCCTGCTCCCTGGGAGGTGCCGTGCCCGGTGGTGCCGTGCCGTTGCACGCCGTTTTGTCGTCTCTGCCGCCTTTTGTGGCGTTGTCCATCGGTGAACTCACGGCTTGTCTGCACGTCGCTCTGTCTGCATTTGCCGCGCCCAGGACCCGGGACGCCTCGGCTCGGCTTGCGAGTACGCGCCGTGGCGGTTCGTTCGCGTGTCGTCTTGCCTCTGGGCTGCCAGCACGCCTTCCTGGACACTTCTTTTTTCCGTCCGCGGCGAGGCAGAGGCAGTCCGCACCAGCGCGGGGCTAATCGGGGCAACCGATTGGCAAATCGTCCGGCGCGCCAGATAGAACGGCCAAGACGAGGGCGGCCGCGCGAAGGGTGGAGGGGGAGGGCGCTCAGACGTGGAAGAGCTCCCCGGTGAGCGGGCCGGAGCGGCCCACCCCTCCTGGACACACTGGTCGGAGGCTGCCAGAAGGGTTCGTTGGACAAGGTTGGTTTCGCTGGACTCGAGGTCCCTCCAGCCCGACCTTAGGCACTCCAGCACGACCTGAGGCGCCCCAGCAGCCGTCGAAACCACCCTTCTTGAGCCAGACCTTCTCGCCGTCCTCGAACTGGATTCGAGGCTTTCGCCCCGAGGGGCTCGCTTCTGCGCGCTCGGCGCGCAAAGAGCGCCGCCCGCTCGATGGGCCCAGGCTGTGCGCTATACTCACGTCTGGGGTCGGCGCCTCTGCTGGGCTGGGCCTCTCGGGCCAGCCTGGATGCGCGGATGCCCCCGCCTGCTTTGCAGAGGAGCGAGGGTGGAGGGTTTCTCCCAAGGGCTTAGGCGACCCGTCCTCCTCCTCCTCCTCCTCCTCCTCCTCCTCCTCCTCCTCCTCCTCCTCCTCTCCTCCTCCTCCTCCTCCTCCTCCTCCCTCCTCCTCCTCCTCCTCCTCCTCCTCCTCCTCCTCCTCCTCCTCTCCTCCTCCTCCTCCTCCTCCTCCTCCTCCTCATCCTCCTCCTCCTCCTCCTCCTCCTCCTCCTCCTCCCCTCCTCAAGTCGCCTACGGCCCTGGGGGAAACCGTGCAAGCGAGGGTGCCAAAGACCTTTTCCAAGAAATCGAGGACGACAGCTTCTCGGACCAACACCTGCCAGAGGCGGCGATCCCCGGCGCAACGCGAAATCAGGGCCGACGCCGCGATTTGACCAACCTCTGACATACCTTCTCCTCCCTTCCACCTCCTAGGGGGAGGAGGAGGAGGAGGAGGAGGAGGAGGAGGAGGAGGAGGAGGAGGAGGAGGAGGAGGAGGAGGAGGAGGAGGAGGAGGAGGAGGAGGAGGAGGAGGAGGGGAGGAGGAGGAGGAGGAGAGGAGGGAGGAGAGGAGGAGGAGGAGAGGAGGAGGAGGAGGAGGAGGAGGAGGAGGAGGAGGAGGAGGAGGAGGAGGAGGAGGAGGAGGAGGAGGAGGAGGAGGGAGGAGGAGTAGGAGGAGGAGAAGGAGCAAAAGGAGGAAGAGGAGGAGGAGGAGGAGGAGGAGGAGGAGGAGGACGAGGGAGGGAGGGAGGGAGGGAGGGCGGGAGGAGGTACAGCCAGTGGAGCACTTGCGCTAATTAATTGATTTTTGTTGGCCAGATCGACGAGGGTGAGGATGACGACGACGACGACCACCACCACCACCACCACCACAGCGGCGACAACGACGTCGACGTCGGCGATGGCGACGGCAGTAACGACGACGGCGCTGACGAAGGCGCTGTTGATTGTGCCAGCGACGACGACGACGACGACGACGACGACGACGACGACGACAATGGCGACGGTGGCGATGTCGGTGGCAGAGGCGACGGCGACGGCGCCAGCGAAGGCGACGCCGGCGGTGGCGAGGGCGGCGACGGCGACAGCGACGGCGACGAAAGCGAGAGCGGTGGCGGCGACGACTACGACCACGGTTGCGACAGTGACAGCGATGGCGGCGACGGCGACGTCACGCCCTTGTTTCTTGTTCGGACTCTTGGAAGGCTCGCGCTCGAACAAATGCAGTGTTGGAGCGCGCCCTGGTTTTCGGCATGGGCTGCTGGAACGTCTTCGCTCGACAAAATCAAAGCGCAGGAGCGACATCCTGCTCAGCTGTGATAGAAGGAACCACGAGAGGGGGAGCGTATGGGAGGAGAAGGCGGCCGGGGGCGCTAGCATTGTCCTCGCGCCTCGCTCTTTCTCCGAAGGGCTACTGTCGCAGCGAGGACCAAAGCGGAAGTATAGCCCCACGTGGTGGCGGCATGCACGCTTCTCCGTAATGTTAGCGTTGCGCTGTGGTGGAAGAAGGATGTACATAAACATATCCCCAGGGATACCCCGATACATACAAATGCGTGTGGCATTCCCGCTGGCAACTCCGCGGATTGTAGGAAAAGAGAGAGAGAGAGAGAAAGAAAAACAACAAAAACGAGAGAGAGAGAGAACAAAAAAGAGAGAGAGAGAGAGGATCGAGGCTCTTGGGCGTGCTTGGCCATGTGGGGGCCTCCATGGACCTACAGACCCACCCCTCCAGGTTGAGCGCATCACAGATCCGGGCCGTCCGCGGACACCACAGCGCGAACACATTCGTCAACCCGCGGCCTTCCGCCTTCTGGGCGACGGCACGCTGTGGCGCTTGCGGCCGTTGTCCACACGACGGACGTCCAGGCCTGCGGAGGCGAGGAGGCGTCTCGGATACGGTAGGTTCGTTTCGTGCCGACGCGGCGACGACCCCAGCGCGGGCGTTCAACGTTGAACGCTGCCAGTGGCCCAGAATCGGCCAATACTGCGGAACGATCTTGCGATCGAAATGCCGCCCACTGTTCGAGGTGGAACGATCCGCGCGATGTCAGAAGCCGTCGCCGAAGTTATCACGGCGCGAACCTGCCGTAAAGTCGGCCCAGTGTCTCTCCCTACGGGAGAAGGGCTCGGCATCGCTCGGACGTGTGCATTTTTCCTTCGGCGAGGACCATCGAGGAGCATCCTTGATCATTTGGCGAAAAAAACACGCACGAAACCGAAAAAAACACGCGGAATGGACGTCCGAGCGATGGCGAGATCTTGCCCCAGCCTGCCTCCTCCTGCTCCTCCTGCAGGCCCCTTCTCCTACATTCGGCATCTCACCACGGTTGGACCAAGACGCGCTTGGAATTCTGAGGTTACCATTTTTGTTTGGCGCTGTCTCGTCATCGCGACAGCCCCCATGAGGCGTGCGGACCGTTCTTGCCCCTGGACGGGCGTAGTGGTTCTCCTCGTTCGTGCTCCTGTCCGCCCTTCTCCTCTGACAGTGGCGCTTCTCCCTGCCTCCCCCCCCTCCCCCCGCGGCTCGCGCACGGCCCTTCGCGCACGGCCCCCCGCGCAGGCAGATACGGAGGCGAGCGATACACGAGGCTGGACGGGGGCGAGAAGGAGGACCGACGGCTTCGCGACGGGGCACTAGCCAGAGGGGTTCCCATCAGAAGCTTCGCCCCCAAGCCTCGGGCGGACCGCGGCTCTTGGGCCTCGCGAGGCCTGGACCGCTCAGGCCGCCTTCCGCCTCCTCCTCCTCCTCCTCCTCCTCCTCCTCCTCCTCCTCATCCTCCTCCTCCTCCTCCTCCTCCTCCTCCTCCTCCTCCTCCTCCTCCTCACCTCACCTCAGATGCCGACGCAGACGACGATGGATGCGGAGGAGGAGGCGGCGCCACCTCTTTCAAGCGGCCTGTGGAGCAGGAGGAGGAGCAGCGCCGCCACGCCGTGCGGCGCGCGGCTGCCGACACACTGCCGCGGGGCCTGCCGCCGACGGCCGTGCACGCGAGCAGCTTTCCGATCGCACCCTCGCGTCGTGTCGACGGGCGGCGACGCCGCCGCCGGCGCTCAACGTTGAGCGCCGCTGGCGACCCAGAATCGGTCGATGTTGAACGATCTGACGATTCGGAAATGGAAAATCGTTCAAGGTTGAAGGATCCCCGCAGTGTCAGAAACCAGCGCCGAAGTCGGCACGACACGAACCTGCCGCCGTACGGTACTCGTGTTATTCATTATGATGTTCTTCGCGCTGCTCGTTTGCTTCATTTGTGCGCTTCATCGTTGCGTTTTTGACGTTAACTGGCTCCCCAGTTGTTATGTCATGTCAGCACGCCCCGTACTGGTTTGGCCATCAACACGCCGAAACATAACCACCATTGCAGTGGCGTGTCCTGAAGAGGAAGCAATAACAGAGCGTGTGTGTGTGTGTTTTTTGGAGAGCTCTGGAACGGCCGCGGCTTCCGGTGCATCCTTCAGAGCCGGCGGATCTCAGAGATCTCCGATTTGAGCGACGTCGCAAAAAAACGTGGTCGTCTCCTCCCCTCCCTCCCTCCCTCCCTCCTCCTCCTCCTCCTCCTCCTCCTCCTCCTCCTCCTCCTCCTCCTCCTCCTCCTCCTCCTCCTCCTCCCTCCTCCTCCTCCTCCTCCTCCTCCTCCTCCTCCCTCATCCTCCTCCTCCTCTCTCCTCCTCCTCCTCCTCCTCCTCCTCCTCCTCCTCCCTCCTGCCTCCTCCTCCTCCTCTCCTCTCCTCCTCCTCCTCCTCCTCCTCCTCCTCCTCCTCCTCCTCCTCCTCCTCCTCCTCCTCCTCCTCCTCCTCCATCTCCTCCTCCTCCTCTCCTCCTCCTCCTCCTCCTCCTCCTCCTCCTTCTCCTCCGCCCTCCTGACTCCCTCCTCCCTCCTCCCCCTCCCCTGGTCTTCGAGCTGGTCCGAGCTTGTCCCCGTCTTGGCCTCGCCTTGTCGCGCGAGGGGGCCGTCACCCCCACCAGGACCTCGCCGAGGCCACTCCCCCACAAACGCACGCCCTGGAGGGTCCGAAGCCCGCTCGGAGCCCAGAGGGCCCAGCGGCACGCCGTCGCGCGCGAGAGAGGGCCCGTGCTCTCCGAGACCAGGACCTTCCCAGACTGAACGGGCCTTCGGCAGCATGAGGCTTGAGGCCTCCCAAAACGACCAGGCCTTCCCAGATCAGTGCTCGTGAGGGCTCGCTTGGTGCGCAGAGGCAGCCTGACCGAGGACCCCCTCGTGGATCGTGGCGCGCGCACAGCAGCCGCCGAGTGCCACCGCCTGCGCCCCCCATTTGCTCGCCTTCTGGCGCACGGGCCTGACATTGGCTTGCAAGTTGGGCCCCCCGCCGAGGATCGCGCCGAGGCCCTGAGCGGCCGCGCGCTGGGGAAGTCCGTGCAGATGGCGGAGCTGCCCAGCCACAGGGCGGCAGCGGACGGCGCCGCGGGCGCACCCGCGAAGGCCAAGGACAGCTGCGGGGGAGGGGGGGGGCCTTGTCGAAAGGGCGGGAGGGCCCCAGGGGCGTTGCATCGGAATGAAAAGGAGGAGGAGGGAGGGAGGGAGGGAGGGAGGGAGGGAGGGGGAGGAGAGGAGGAGGAGGAGGAGGAGGAGGAGGAGGAGGAGGAGGAGGAGGAGGAGGAGGAGGAGTGAGGAGTGAGGGAGGAGGAGGAGGAGGACGAGGAGCAGGAGGAGCAGGAGGAGGAGGAGGAGGAGGGATGGGAAAAAAGATGAGGGCCTTCTCGGAAGGGTGGAGGGCCCCAGTGGCGCTGCATCGGAATGTGAAGGAGGTGCTCAAGGTGGTGGAGGTGGTGCTCTCTGGCGTCTGCCATCCCACTGTGTCGCCAAGCTCTCGCTGTCATTGGCACCTCCGAGCCCGAGGAGGCTGCTGCCTTTTACTCACGTCGTCTGCTTCCAACGGGTCCTGACGCTTCGGGTTTGCGCTTGCCCTGCAGCTTGCCGAAGAAAAGAGGACCAGGGATGAGTAGCGAGGAAGAGGAGTTGAAGGAGCAGGGGGAGGAGGACAGCGAGAACTAGGGCGAGCAGGAGGAGTAGGAGGACGAGAAGGAAGAGGCTCTGTCTACAACCACCCTGGTCTGGCTCGATCGGCTCGGTCATCGTCGAGAGCGCGAAGACAAGTTCGCATGGCTGAACAGTTGCTTGTGGTGTCGGAACACCCCCTCAGGATCTCGCGACGCTTCCTCCCGGATGTTGACGGATTACTTGGCGCGTAGACGGGGTCCTCGCTGCGTTGCGCCATTACACGGTGGTCTTGACCGATCTTAATCATGGCGGCGCTCGCCGAGGGCAATTCGGGGCGTCGGGCACAAATTGGTTCGGGCGCCATGCTAAGTACGTGGTAGATTCGGTGGTTCCGAACGGCACCTGTCCTTGTTGCCCGCCTTCCCTTTGTGTACTGCGTTGCCTCTTCGGCCTCCCCGTCTGAGGGCTGTTGGTCACCCTCGTCTCTCCCAGCTCCTCGCGGTCTCGGCGCTCGCACCGCCTCCCCCCGTCTTCCCTCCACCTCGCCTCCCATTGTCAGTCCTCCCTCCCTACCTCGCCTCTCTGCGTTTCTCTCGACACCGTCCGATCTCGATGCGGCGCGGTGCCCCTCCCCCCCCCAGAGTGCGTAGAGTAACGCCGAGGTGGGTCAGTTCAGCCCCCCCCCGTCCTTGTTTGCAGTGCAGCGCGAACTCCGCACAGCGACTGGTTTCTCCCAGGGTGTGCGCCGCCTTGGTTCAGAAGCCGGGCGAAGGCTGGTAAACCCGTGGTTGCTAAAACGGAGATCCGGGAGATTGGCTTTTTCCGGGAAGCAGCCCGTTTACTATTTGGCGCGCTGAGCTTGATTCCGGGAGTTTGTTTTCCTCTTCCAGGAAGACTTGGGGGCGGCAAAGAGGGTGGTGATGACTAAGGGGGGGGATATCATGGCGGGGGCCATGATATTTCCTCAGATCTCATGGCGCCTCTCCTCATTCCACTACGTCCCTGGCCCCCCCGCTGGGCCGCGCACATGCCGCCGGTCACGACTTGCACCCCCCCTCCTCTTGGATAGTTACCCCCTTCTTGGCCGCTCCCGAGAGAACTTTTGAGCACCCACCTCTTGGCCAGCCCTCGCCCAGCGCCCAGCCCTGCCAGACCAGCGCCCCAGGCGTTGGTCTCGGTCCGCCGCGCCCGTGCCACGCCACGACCGGAGGCTTCTCACCACACTGGGCTCTGGCGTCGCCAGCCCCAGGCCATGCATCTGCTGGAGGGTTTCTCCGGAGGGCTCAGGCGGCCCGTCCTCCTCCTCCTCCTCCTCCTCCTCCTCCTCCACCTCTTCCTCCTCTCCTCCACCTCCTCCTCCTCCTCCTCCTCCTCCTCTCCTCTCTCCTCCTCCTCCTCCTCCTCTCTCCTCCTCCTCCTCCCTCCCCTCCTCCTCCTCCCTCCCTCCTCCTCTCCCTCCCCCCTCCTCCTCCTCCTCCCTCTCCTCCTCCTCCTCCTCCTCCTCATCATCATCATCTCATCATCATCATCATCATCATCAACATCAACATCAACATCATCATCATCATCATCATCATCAGCAGCAGCATTGTCATGATCATTATCAACAACATCATCATTGTCTTCCCCTTCTCTCTTATTTTTCTCCTCATCCTCCTCTTCCTCCTCCTCCTCCTCATCATCATCATCATCATCATCACCATCACCATCATCATCATAATCATCATCATCATCATCATCATCATCATCATCGTCATCATCATCATCATCATCATCCTTCTCCTCCTCCTCCTCCTCCTCTTGTTTCTCCTCCTCCTTTTTTGTTCTTCTCCTCCTCATCCTCCTCCTCCTCCTCCTCCTCCACCTCCTCCTCCCCAAGACCGCGCCAGCCGGTCGCCTCAGGAGGCGCCGCTGCTCCAGTTCAGCGACGAGCCCGTAGCCCGGGGCCTGGCCTGCCTGGGCTGGTGGATGGGGAGACGGATGTGCGGCGAGGGAGCAGGAGGTCTTTCTTCGGTTCCGTGTGTTGATACGCTTCCCCACTGTCTATTCAATCCTGATTGGGATGGAGGGAGAACTGGGCATGGGGGGTTCTCATGCGCACGCGTGGTTCCCTCCCCCCTGTCCTCTCAGGGATCCTGGTCCTCTCCACAACACACTTGCGTGCATTCGCTTCTCCATCCACCCACCGCCCCTGCCACCTCCGGGGACAGATGGTGCGAGGCGCGAGTCCGCCTCAGGGCAGGCCGGAGTGGGACTCCGGCACCCAACGACCCCGACCCTTTTCCAGCTCGCCGAGCCTCGCTGCGGCTGCAAAGACTGCCCCGTGGGAATCTTTCCTCGATTGGGGGTCTCTGGGGAACCTGTTCGTGCCCCAGGGCCGTCAGAGATTGATCCGGCGTGGGAGATTGGTTCGGGCCGACCCTGAGCGGAGCGGGTCCTGGCCGAGGAGCAGGAGGGAGAGGGTCGGGGAGGACGAGCGATGCGGATGGGGAAGACAATAGGGAAACAAAAAGTGGCATAAACAGAAAGACTCGGAGGTCCGCACGGACCTCCGAGTTTTTATGTTTGTGACACTTGTTGTTCCCCTAGACAAGGGGCCGGTGCGCGCGAACTCTGCTTCGCGCGGCTGGCTTCGGCCCACGCCGCCGAGCGCTTGCCTCGACGACATGGCCGCGCAGGCGACACAGGGTGCCCGGAGCTCGCTCGCGAATCCCACCTTCGCCACACCGCGCTCGCCCACCCGGAGAGGAGGAGGCCGACTGCGGCGAGGGAGCCGGGGAGGTGGAGGCACGGGGGACCTGCGCTGGCAGGAGCGGAGCGGGGACGGGGGGCGGTACGTCAGGAGCGAAAGACGGACGTACACGTACATGAATCCACGCTGGTTTCGAGAGCACACATTGCACAAATGTTCGTATCACGCGGCCGGTCTCGCGAATCGAGGGGCCGTGTTCATGTACATAGCTGGGCGCGTACGTCCTTTGTGGGCTCCCTAGTACGGGCCACCCGAGCCACCCCGGGCGGCTGCAGATCGTTTCCAGGCGTCTGCCCTGCGATGCCGAGCGCCCCAGCGCCCACGCGCGGGTAGGGCGGCGCACGGAGAAGATCGGGGGAGAAGAATCAGTGGGCGGAGCACAGCGGCGTGGCAAGCTGTTTGCCGCCGCCCTGGGTCCTGACCCCCGAACCAACAAAATTGAAGAATCTTTGAGACACGCTCAGACAGCAAAAAACAAAAAAACAAAAAGCGATGGGGGGAGGAACACGAAAAAAAACAAAAAAACAAACAAATAAATGATCCCAGTGCGACCCTACATAGGAGTTGGAGCCCCTAGGAAAGCAGCAGTAGTACGAACAGTAAAGCTAAAGCTAAGCTAAAGCTAAGTTAAAACTAAACCAAAGCTAAGCTAAAGCTAAGATGAAGCTAAGCTAAAGCTAAGCTAAGCTAAGCTCAAGGTAAGCTAAAGCTAAGATGAAGCTAAGATAAAGCTAAGCTAAGGCTAAGCTAAGGCTAAGCTACCGCTAAGCTAAAGCTAAGGTGCAGATAAGCTAAAGCTAAGCTAAAGCTAAGCTAAAGCTACGGTAAAGGCTAAGCTGAAGCTAAGCTAAAGCTAAGCTAAAGTTACGGTAAAGGCTAAGCTACAGCTAAGCTACAACTAAGCTAAAGCTAAGCTAAAGCTGAGGTGCAGCTCGGCTAAAGCCAAGCTAAAGCTAAGCTCAAGCTAAGCTAAAGCTAAGGTACAGCTAAGGTACAGCTAAGGTACAGCTAAGCTAAAGCTAAGCTAAAGCTAAGCTGAAGCTAAGCTAAAGCTAAAGCTAAAGCTAAGCTAAAGCTAAGCTAACGCTAAGGTGCCGCTTAGCTAAAGCCAAGCTAAAGCTAAGCTAAAGCTAAGCTGAAGCTAAGCTGAAGCTAAGCTAAAGCTAAGCTAAAGCTAAGCTGAAGCTAAGCTACAGCTAAGCTAAAGCTAAGCTAAAGCTAAAGCTAAAGCTAAAGCTCTCAGGGGACTGGGGGAATCGCGGGGCGGGGACTGGGGGAACCGCCCAGGGCGGTTAGCACTGCCCGGCCTTTTAAGCTAAGAGAGTAAGAACCCTTCTAGGCAGAGCCTATGTAGGGAAAAACATAAATAGATAAATGAATACATTCTATTCAAAAAAAAACAAACAAACAAAAAACTCGATGGTCGAGGGCAAAGCTCAACGCGACGACGAGATGGAGGAGCAGGGGGACGAGGTACACCGCTCCACGCGCTCGGGGCACGGTGCCCGGCAAGCTCAAACAGCACGCTGCAGTTAGACGCGGCCCCGACTTCGTGCGCAAAACGACCGAATTCGTGAACACGCTGTTCTGCGTGGGCGAATGTGCAAAACCAAATGTGGCGTTCCAGAAGAAAGGGCCTCGCCTTCGAGGATCGAGGGAGTTGTCATCTCTTCCTCGGCGGAAGGTCGGCGGAAGTAAAACGAGGCTGCCTCCTCCGTCGGAAGCCGGCGGAAGCTCGGCGGAAGGTGGCGGAAGTAAAAGATGCGCCCCCAGGATGTGTTCAGGGTTTCCGAAATCCCCAAATGTTCGCCAGCATGGACCCACAACAGCGAGTTCTTGCCATCTATGCGGCGCAATCTGGATGGTGCAATCAAGGTGGTGCCATCTATGCAGTGCCATCCACGTGGTGCAATCTACGTGGTGCCAAACGATACAGAGCAATGCAAAGCAACGCAACGCGTTGACAAGCAATGCAAAACAATGCAAAGCAATGCAAGGCAACGCAACGCAACGCAAAGCAATCGAAAGCAACGCACAGCAACGCAAAGTGCAAGCCCCGCACAATCAAAATCGTGACCAAGGACGTTGGCCACGGGCGGCCACAAGCCAGCCAGACCCACAACCAGGCCCAGCTCCTTAGAAGAGTTGTTAGACCCCCTAAGTGCAACGATCGGACGGAAAGGGGCAGGGAATGCTCAAAGCTGCTTCAACTAGAGACGGGCATCCCCTGAGACTCCTTAGGACACCCAGGCCACCGAGCTGAGTCGGTCTGGCGTGGCGCATGGTCTCTGTAGCCACGGGTCGAGCGAGAGCGCCGGACTGCGCAAGCGCGACCCCAGCGCAGGCCTTCCGCTGGCATTAATACGGTCATGTTCACCGTGAGTGCAGCCAGACGCGAAGCAGGGTGTCGTGTGTGGCCGCCAGTGGTCACCATGCAGATGTTCGAACCAGCCTGACTCCGATAGCTTGTAGTTTCCCAGGATTGGGCCCGCTTCTCGCGTACTGAATGACACTTCGAGCAGTCGTAGCCTTTGCAGCCCAATTCCGCTCACATCCCTCTCGCGTGTCCGACAGGTGCGAGGAGGAGGAGGAGGAGGACGAGGAGGAGGAGGTGTGATCGTTTTGACGATTTCGGCTCGGGCAACGCGTGCTAGATGTGCACCTGGAACGCGCCCTTGCCCTGTTCAAATCGGAAGCGCAATAACGGGCCGAAGCTGCGCGTCCTCGGACGTGCTGTCGATCGACATCCCACTGCGCTACTTCAAGAAGTTCGAGGAGGTCCCACCACCATTATCAATGAGCCTTCGGATCGGATCAGTTTTGAGGGCGATAAAGTCAAGACGCTGAAATGAGGACCGCTTTGGGTTCGGATAGAGCTCGCTGTTCCTTCGGTCATTCCTTGGTTGTTCCGCTGACCTTCCTCGTGCACCCAGGCTATCCTGGTGCCAGAAAACGTTCGTTCGTGATGTAGTGTTCCTTGTTGCAGCAGGTTGACTGCATGCACGCCTCACCTTCCGCGGATGCTCAGAGTGGTGGTGGGGTCCAACTCTTACCAAGGGTCTCGGCCCCTGCGTCTCGAATCGTCCGGACGGAGGTCTGCTCTGGACGTGTGCAGCGGCTCGTACCCGCACGACCCTGACGCGAACCAGAGCTCTGGATCTGGAATTCTCGTGCGAAGAAAAGGCACTGACACAAATAAACATTGATTGTCGCGAAACTGTGCGAGAACACGTGAAATTGATGGGGACAGGCAATTCCATGAAGTATACATGTATATATATATATATATATATATAGAGATATATAGATGCATAGATGTAACCCCAAAAAATGATACCTGAGAAAAACCTAATCATAATCTTGTTTGATGATATAGGGCTATAGCGGCTAAAGGGCTATAGGGCTGTAAGGCTATAAGGCTATAAGGCTATAGGGCTAGAGGGTTAGAGGGTTAGAGAGTTAGAGGGCTATAGGGCTATAGGGTTATAGGGCTATATTGTTATAGGGTTATAAGGGTATAAAGCTATGGGGCTGTTAGGGTTATAGGGTTGTAAAGCTATTGGGGCTATAGGGCTAGAGGGCTATAGAGCTATAGGACTATAAGGCTCTAGGGTTATAAGGCTATAGGGCTACCGTGCGGGCACCCGGGCACTCCGGGGCACGCCAGGCCCCCCGGGCACCCGGGCACCCTGGCACCCCGGGGCACCCGGGCACTTGGGCGTGCAGCGAAAATCGGCGACAAACTTAACCTAACCATATGAATCCGCCAGGACCCCTAGAGAGGCAAGCTCTGAGCGGGGAAAAAGGTTGAGGATTCTGGAATACTGTACGACTTGTGGGTGTATCTCCCTGGGCCCCTTCAGACTTGCACAACTACGGAGTGAAGGCGGCGACCGTCTCACGAGCAGTGTCCGCGGTGCTCGAGGGCGCGAGACAGGGCGCGCGCCGCCCCGCTGTGGGCGGACCGCCATCGTCGGGGGCGACTTCAGCTGAGGCGAGGCGCTGCCGCTGAGGAGGACAAGCCGCCAGAGAAGTGGTGATCCCGCCATGGAGGGCAAAGTCGACCTGCATCCAGCGGATCGATGTCTGAGACATGTGCCAAAAATGCCGTCCTCACTTCTCAGCCGCAGGCATCTATGTACACATTGGGTGTCGCTGCGTACACAGACGCATTCGAGGTGGATAC